CTGTTAAGATTGCTGAAATAAAAGGAGGACAAATAAAATAAAACTACTTTTTAACACTAAATGATGCCAAAATACTCAAGTGATTTACTGCTATTACCATTCACTAAAAACATTCGAATTAATTTCTTTGACATTTTTTTCTTCAAAATCTATCAAACTGCAAAGGAAGATGGTCTTTAATCAATAAGTTTTAACAATATTGGTTTGTTTACAATTGCTGTGATATACACCATGATAATCTTTGCCAAAAGGTGCAAAGATCGAGAGCAACACCCTCCCCCCCAAAAAATTAAAAAATCATGATAATAAATAATAATTGTACTAATAAATATAAATGTAATAATTATAATGCTAACGTAATTGACATTATGAAAATAAAATTGTTTCCATACCCTTTTCCTGAAGCATGGTCAACACTAGCATGCTAAGTGGTAAAGTTGCAAAAGTGTAAATCTTCCTATTCACAGAGTACTGATACTCTACTGGCATTGGCATATACTTCACAGCCAAATAGTTCAGCAAGATATGTAACATCACACATTGATGTTTTCAGTATTATACATATGGATATCACTGGTTTTGCTTGAAATTTTGTGCTTAACATTTGCATTTCCCCATGGAATTGGTTAGCCTGACAATTAAGAACAGCTAATACTGTAGCTCTGATCTACCCAGCTGCTTCCTATACGTTTTAGTTGCATATATTTTGACATATGTTGTACTATCATCTCTCAGGTTTCATCTTGCATTCCATCCCATTTATTAACCACTTACTGCAAGGGATGGCATGTGTTAACATGCCATGTCCACTGTATGTTTAATTTGGTCATTGTTTTTACATATAGATGGCTCCTAAAGTACTAAGTACTGTCTCACCTGCTTACCCTTTTCTTTGATTTTGATATTTTCTAGTATTTAATACTGCTGTTAGTAATGTCAATAACACTATAGTAATTATATACTTTATAACAAAAATAAGTGTTGATATTGATAGCAATTGTAAAAAAAACATTTTTCTGCTATCTCAAGGAAAGGTGAAGACTCCTTTGTGGCTAAGCACTGGTAGAGCCATTTATTTACAGAAACCTTTAACAAAACAATACTAAAGTGAACCTAACATTTTCCCGTTGGCATTAGGTTAATTTTGGTTAGTTCAAAACATCACTTGCAGTTTCTAAGTGTATACGAATTCCTAGTGCATTGGCAAGAGTCAATTTTTTTTATTTGAAAGAATATCAAGTTTTACCTTAAAGAAACATCTTCATAGTGATTGCATGATCACTTCTGCAATCCTAATATTTCATGAAGAATGTATTAAGTGGAGTGTTCATCATGATACATTATGAAAAGACGAGAGCTATTGAAATTATGGAAAATGTTCTGGCTAGACCAATTAATCTTTCAAATGGAAGATCTGTGGGAGGGGGATTTCCCTTCTCAAATTTAAAAGTAAGCTTAAATACCAGTAGATGGGTGTGGTGGAAAAAAAAGTGTAAAGTATAATATGCTGGAAGAAGAGGCAAGGCAAAAGTGAACCAGAAAATCTACCAGTTACAGCCAGCCTCCACCAAAGACATTGAAGCTGGTACTTATTTACATATGATTACTGAACAAAATAGAATAACACCATATGAGGTTGACTGCATTATGTTTTAATGGAATATGCTATGACATGAAAACTGATTTTTTTAAATAGATATTTTTAATAAAGATTAGAACAAAAAATGGATCTCCTCATTTGTGCTTTGACTGCCATAAAAACTTAGGAGTAAAAACTCCAGTTGACATAGAACAATTTGTGTTAAGATAAATGGAAAAAGTATGACCTCTGTCAAAAACTAACACAAAAAGACGAAACTTTAAACTTTGATTTTAAAAACATAGGCTCAATTCAAAAGATTTTTTATTCCTCTCACCCCCTGATCTATTAGAATAGTTACAAAGTATTTTCTACGCAAGTGGCAAAACAAAATGTGCAAAAGATTAGAGATGATTTTGTAAGAAACAAATTATACATCTAAATATAAATTTTCTGGCAATTCAAAAATATAGCCAAACTCTAATTTTAACCCAATGCCCCCGGGAAAATGTTGCATTCACTTTCACACAGTTTTGTAAAACTGATAGCTCTGCCAGTGTTTAGCCACAAAGGAGTTGATTAGTAGACCTTGTGACCTCACTCGATTTCCCCTTTCTTGAATTTGTGGGAAAAACACTATTTTTACTAATGATGTCAATTTAGATACTGTTATTTTTATCATAAAATTCATTATTACCATAGTGCTATTGACATTACTAACAACAATATTAAATACCAGGAAACACCAAATATCAAGGAAAAGGGTAAACAGGTTAGAGTGGTAGTTCTCATCATTGGCTCATTGGTGACAGTACTTGTGAAGCCATCTCTCTGCAAAAATTAAATAGAACCCACAGTGGGTATGGCATGTATGCACATGCCATACCTGTCAGCATGTAGTCAAGTTATTTTCTTGAACTTAAAAATATTTTGTATATGCTCATCTTACTAAAAAGTCAATATGTAAAATGGAATACAGCTTGTCCTTAAATTTCCAGAGAGAAATCAAAATAACTATATTATTTCATACAACAGCCTACTATAGTTTGCTTTTCTTCAGAATATATAGAACTGTAGACTACTTTATTTGTAATTGAAAATATTGTTGATTGCATGTTAGATTAAAAAAATTTCCAAAAATAATGTCAAACTTTAGCACCTGTAAAGAATGTCACAAATGTATTTCAACAGTTGTGTTTGGCACAAATTTGGAATCACAAATGTCTAATCATACCAATATGATAAGAATTCTGTTTATGAAATCCACATTATTTTTAACCATACAGACATCAGATACAATAGTGGTAGACTCTTTGGTAATGGTGTAAGATAATCCTTGAAGTGAAGGGGACTGTTGCTTTCATATGTAAGCTACTACATGCTTTCTTAAGCTCTTTCCCTAGTGACATCAATTACTAATCAATGATCATATTTTGGATAAAGTAATACATATCAAACACAGATTTTTAAAATAGTAAAATCAAGTTCTGTTTCATATTACATTCTCTATTTACTGGGGAGAGAGAGGAGTAGGGGAGAGAGAGAGGGGGGGCAAACGAGAGGGAGAGGCGAGAGGGTAGGGAGGAGCGGGAGAGGTGAGAGGGAGCGGGGAAGAGACGGGGTTCACTCCGATGAGTGATGAGTAGAGGTATGAGATTAGAGAGACGAGATTTGGAGATGAGGCGAGAGGTTGAGATATTTGATAGATTTTTGTTGAGATGATTTGTGATAGTTTGAGATAAGTAGAAAAAGAACAAAAAAAAAAATATAAAAAAAAAAAAAAAGGAAAAAAAAAGAAGAGAAGAGAAGAGAGAAGGAAAGAGAGGGAGGGAGAGAAGAGAAGAGAGGAAAGAGGAGAAGAGGAGAGAAAATGAGAGGGAGAGGGAGAGAGGGAGAGGGCGCGCGCGACGCGCGCGACGGAGAAGAGTGTCTTAGACGGTGGCGAGGGAGAGAGGAGAGGGAGAGAGGGAGAAGGCGAGTCTCAGGGTGTGAAGAGGAGAGAGAAGAGAGGAGAAAAAGAGGAGGACCGTATGGAGAGAGAGTAGGAGAGAGGAGGTTAGTATGCTGCGCGGAGAAGAGAGAGGGAGATACACGCCAAGAGAGAAAAAAACATCAGAGATAAGCATTAGACAATATGACAAAAGACAGACTACAGTGAATGGAACCTCAGAAAAGTAGTGGATGAAAACATATTGGTTTCTAAGGGAGAGAGAGAGAGAGAGGGGGATTAATAGAGAGAAAACAAAGAGAATAACAAGATTGTGTGGGAGAGAGTGAAGAGGAGAGAAAGAGGAGAAGAGAAGAAGGAGAGAGAGGAAGAAGTTGAGGAGGAGAGAGAGAGAGAGAGAGAGATGAGAATGAGAGCAGAAGGATAGAGAGAGAGGAGAAGAGAAGAAAGAAGAAGATAGTGGAAAGGTGACAGCGAGAGCGCGCGGGGGAGCAGAGAGCAGAGAGAGAGGGGGAAGAGAGACGAGAGGGGGGGGGGAGAGAGAGAGAGGAGAGAGACAGGATGAGGAGAAACGACGCGAAAGAGAGAGACGGAGAGAGTGAACGAGCACAGGCTGATCAGAACAATTCATACACAAAATAACAATCGAGATGGAACCAAGAAGAAGTGATGTAGGTAGTCACTGAGCGTAAGAGATATTTGGGCAGGATGTATGTAGAATGATAGTAAAAAAGAGAGAAAGAATTAATTATATAAGGCAGGAGCACAGCCAGCGGTTATTTAAAACCAGCAAGCAAGAAAAAAAAAAAAGGCACCAGGGGGCTGCGGAGAGAGAGAGAGAGAGACTTGAGAGAGAGAGAAGAGAGAGAGATGAGATCGGATGCAGAGAGAGGTTACTGCATTTATGAAACCGTGAAGAGGCCGACGGAGGAGGAGAGAGAGAGAACGGAGGAGAGTTTGAGAGAGAAGAGAGTAGATAGGGAGAGGAGAGGGAGAGAGATGGGAGAGGGAGAGGAGAGGGAGAGGAGAGGGAGAGGGAGAGGGAGGAGAGGGAGGGGGAGAGGGAGAGGGAGAGAGAGAGGGGGAGAGGGAGGAGGGGAGGGGAGAGGAGAGAGAGGGGGAGGAGAGAGGGAGAGAGGGGAGAGGCGAGAGGGGGAGAGGGGGAGAGGGAGAGAGGGGGAGAGGGAGAGAGGGGAGAGGGGAGAGGGAGAGAGGGGGACGAGATATTCCTACACCCTTCAAACCCAAAAAACAGGTATTAAAATTTGGTCAAACCATTTCTTTAACCTGTAAGCATAAAGGAAAACTTCCAATTCCTGTAACTGAAAAGACGAAAATGTGAAAAAAAAAAAGCAAACAAAACATATGTGCATTGAGGTTTATAATAATTGCTAAAGGCCCTATCACACTAGCACTTTTTCTGTCAACTTTTACATTTCCATCTTTTTTAATGCTTTCCAGAAGTATTATTTGCCTCCTGGACGAAGATAGTGGCAACTATATCTGTCCGACTAATTTCTGTCTTGATCTTGTGCTATGGAGTTTTTACACAGAGATCCTGAAGTACAACTAAAAGGTTTCCAATGATAAATTAGACAGAACATGTTAATGCAAATAGAGGATAGTAATCTAGAATATTTCTATATGCAATATACACAATTATATTTCTTTAAAATATATAGGAGAATGATCCGTTTCAGGCATGTTAGTGTGATAGGGTCAAGTCCATTTTATAAATAAAGTTCATATTGAAACAAAAAGTGACAGAAAAAGTGCTAGTGTGTGTAAATAAAAAACTTCTTCCTTACTTGATGCCATAGCTGGTCCAACACCCTTCAAATTACAGAGAGCCTGGATGGCAGAAGGTAAATCTTCTTTCTTTAATAAAGCCCTGAAAGCCTTTTTTGTTTCTGTCATACACAGACGCGGAGTGTTCATCTGAATAAGATCCTTTAGTCTGGGAGAGAATTTCCCACGCTGAAATATTAAATATGTGATTAGTATATTCACAACCTACATAGACCATAAGTCATCAATCAAACCTGGACTATAATGTGTTAAACATCTTTCAAAATTGATAAAAATTCTCAATCTGGTCAAATAGCAATTTTACAGATCAATCATTTTGAATTAACATCTGCATTTATCTGAAATTAAGAAGAATTTGCCATCATTCTTATTTTCCAGTTAAACCAGTCAAATTGCAGGCGAACCTGTAAGTCACAACAGTAAAACCAAGTTTTTCAATTTTTTTTTTCTTATGCAGTCTCATTTAAAATATTGGCAATGGGTACATACACTGCAAGTTTTTTTCTCACCATTCTGTTTTACATATAGAGTGCTTCACACAGTCCTAAATGTGTCAATAACTATGCCTACCCAATCTCACCTGTATCCCAAATCCTGAATTTTAGACAAAATTTTTATCTGTTTCTATTACTGCCAAAAAAAAAAAACTATCATTATTTTTGTCATCATCATTGTCATTGTCAGTATCTTTATTATAAAAAGTCATAACTTTCCTTCTTTAAAACTTAGGGAATGGGTCAAATAAATGAGATAATGTAGACTTGGTGACTCCTTAGTAACTGAGCACTTGTGGAGTCTTCTGTATGCAATGAATATTAATCCTCTGAGAGTGAAAGGCCTGAAATCATGTAATGGCATTGGTAGATGACACCCCATAATGACATATTCTGTATAGTAAAAAAAAAAAAAAAAAGGTCACTATTAGAAACAGGTACCTAAAAAAAAGGGAGAAACCTTACTTTTTCCAAACTTGTGTATAAAATACAGCTAATGGCAACTAGGTCCTAATCTGCTTGAAGTACCAAACAAGCCAGGTGCAAATAGGGGACACTGCCTATGTACACCAACAACCCCTCAATTAAGACTATTAGTCAATTTTAACTCCTCAAATACTGGGATAATAAAATAAAACCCCTACAATCTGGATGACATCACCATGTTATGAAAAAAAAAATTGGCTTGAGGGGCGGGTGACATGAACATATTGTCATGGGGAAATTTGGCTGTGGGATGGGGAGACATGAACTTGCCATCATGAACATTTTGCCTGGAGGCCAGAGTGACAGGAAAAACTCATCACAAGTGTACAAACTTCTTGGAGGGTGATCCGGATGAAGTGATCATCACATGAAAAAAATTGGCTTGGGGGTAGCCTGACAGGAACATGCCATTATCAGAAAATCTGGCTGCAGGCCCAGGTGACACAAACTGTCACAAGCATTTCTGCATTCAGAAGGGGGCTTTTGCCTATTTCCATCAATAATTGACTGTGGAATGTACTGTATATGAGCCGTGACTGGAGGAGTGTCGGCTCCAGAGAGGATCCTATTTCAATACTTGCCATCTTAATCCTGGCTGCCATGACCAATAGCACAGATTAAGAAAATTGAATATTAGGAAAATCAAAAATAGACATACAACAAAATATTTCTTTTCTTCTTTCTTGAGTTATGGACTACCTAGAGGGAGAATATGGAGTCTGTGCATGGAAAGCAGGCTATTACCATTTGGAGAAAGCAAATCAAATGACAAATAAGTAAGCCTAATGCCTGTATTTTGGGCCATGTGAAGGCAGTGAAGCATCCAGCTTCATCGGGTTAAACCAAATGGCTACTTCAGCCTATAAAACGAGAAAAGTCAATAATTCTAATTTGCCTAATAACAGCCTATCCCCTCCCCCTGTTCTCTCAAATTATAAAAGAGAACTCATAATGAAAGCAAGGAAGCTAAACAACTGCTTACAAAAAAATTAATTAATCAAAAAAATAAAAGAGCTAGTGAAACTTACTGAGAGTTTCCATTTCATGCAAAGGCAGAGTTCTTCATGGGTTAGATGAGCGTCTTTTCCTCTGGATTTTATCCTTTTGGGGAGTTCTGTTTGATACCTGAAACAAAAAAAAGGAATATAAGGGATGCACTTTCTTCCTATAACCCTAGAAGCTAC